ATAAACATCAGGAGGGATCGGACAGCTGGTGCTTAGCCAGTACTCAGTCCGCTGGTGTCAGGGATGATTCTACACCCTCATTCAAGTGTGTAGAGTCATATTTTATAGCCACCAGAGAGGCCAGCATGACCTGCTGGTTTTGCTGTTCAAGCGCCATCTGCACAAGTGCAGTATACATTGCCACCGCTTGATCTCGGTCAATTCTGAAGCGATTCAAGTCAGGTTCAGTTGTTCATGAGCTGCCAACATGTATTTATATGCTACGAAGCTGCCCGGACATCTGTCTGTGGCTCCCGAGCTGGGAACGGCTTCCCATCCTTGCTTTAACACATCTCAAGACACAGTATGCACTGGATTAAGACAGCTTTATGCTACGAATGAGTGTGGGTGTAAGGGAGTGTACAGGGAGAACAACTAGGGCAGGCATTAAAGAGAGACTAACCAATCCAAGGCAAAGGGATCAACAAGAAGGTAATTAAATGGAAAGTAAGGGGATGGAGCTAAGTCAAGGAGCGCAATCAGAACTCAGGCACATAGTCATTGTCAGAGGACTCCCTGCCTCCCTGCATAGGCTCATCATCTGACTCCTCAGTGGAGGGCTCCTCCTCAGCCTCCTTCCTCTTGCTGGACCCCTCACCCTTGTCCACATCATCCACCTCCATGAACTCATCCTCCCCTTGATCCTTGCCTTTGCCCTTACCATTCTTCTCCTTTGCCTTCTGTCTCTTCTCCCACTTGAGGCGATGCTTCGCAGCCAGACCTCCAGATTTTGCTGTCTTGGTAGCACCCATCTTGATCTTCTGCCCCTCACTACGCGTCTTGCGGTACTCAGCCCTATGCTTGTCTATGGTGAGCTTCTTCGCAGTGAGCAGCTTCTTGGTCTCTTCGCGTGCCAGGCTTCTCGCCTGCTGACCACAACCATCGTGGCAGTCCCTGATGTCGTCAAGAACATACCTCAGGTCTGCTGGACGGAGTTTGGACACATCCAGGTTCTGCAGGTTATTGGTCTTCATCTCCTCGCCCAGTCGCCTTTCTCGTCGCCTGACAGGAGCCAGGTAAAAGCGCTTACGTGCATCAACTGAAAGGCAGTCCCAATGGATACACGTGAACTGGACTGAAGGCTGGGAACCCTGTAAAACCATGAGTAAAAGCCATGGAACAGATCAATCAAGAGACTTACATCTGCTTGCGAAGTTGGCTGAGGTCGCCAGAGAATGATGGTACGCCCAGCTGCACAGGTGGACGTTGGAGCCACTGACTGAGCTAGAATCAAAGCAACATATAAGCTGAGCTCTCAACCAGAGCAGAGAAAACACCTACGGCAGTTCTCACATATCCCCCTCCTGGTCTTTGCACAATACAGCAATCTTGTATCATACTCATACTGAATGGCTGCTGCCCGCTCATCCTTTGCTGAAGCACCTTGGAAGCTCTTGGAGAACGTAGGGATCTGTTTATCCTGTTGGATGGCATCGATGACCTCGGCCTGCTGCACACGCTTCTGTTTATGGGCATTGGCAATGGCCACAGACTTCTCGTAATGCGCCTTATTCACATTCTTGCGCTGTGGCTTGATCACCTTGGACCGTACTGGGGCAGGTGGCTCTTTACGGACATGGGGTGGGCGCGCAACTCCAGGAGGAGGGTCTACGGTGCCAGCAGTAGGCACCACAGGAGCAGGATCCACAGGTGGAGTCACCTCGTCCTCTGGGGTGTTATCGCGGGACCTGCGAATCACAACAGGCATCTCCCGTTTGTGCCGACGGCTACGTCGGAGAGCAGGTGGGGGAGCATTGCCAGCAGGTGGAGGGGGTGGAGCATGTGGAGCTGGTACAGGAGCATTTGGAGCAGGCAGGGGAGCATCAGACACAGGTGGGGAAGACAGCGGAGAGCCAGGGTTAGAAGGAGCAACAGCTCCAGAGTCCAACTCAGCCTCAGAAACAGCAGGAGAAGGAGGGGGAGGTGTAAGTGACTCAGACATTACAGGCTATCTAGTAAACTATCAAATACTCGAATTCTAACACTATGCTAGTAGTTGGAAGAGAGAGAGACAGAGAGAGGAGGGGACGAGAATTTTTCATTTGCTTGAACATCGACGACGATTGCCTACAGCGGTAGCACAGCCACCGAGCGCGCCGGCGGCGGTGGCCGTCGTGCAAAGTCACTCGCGGACGTCGACACACACATTGTCGCGCTTCGCTAACCACCTCATCGTAATCCGCGGGTATGAAAACCCCGGAAGCCATGTTTTACTGACACTATTTTATGCTCTAGAGCCCGAGCGAGGCAGCCTCAGAGACAAGCCGACGCGCGCGAGACGCGAAGTCCCGCGTTGTGCTTCTGCCTGCTGTCGACACTCTCGACACCGCCGCCGCCACTTCCTCAGGCCTGGGATGGACATACAAAGTGGGGAGAAGCAGAGGCTAAGGGAAACCAGTAAGCAAATCAACTCAACTTCGATGTTTTGTTGTTTGATAGGAGGGGCTGGCATGCCTGCCTCA